ATCTATCTATCTATCTATCTATCTTCTATCTATCTATCTTTTATCTATCTATCTATCTATCTATCTATCTATCTATCTATCTATCTATCTATCTATCTATCTATCTATCTTTATGTTTTACAGTTTATTCTGTAAAAATCAGCCTTTGCTCATTAACAGGTGAGAGCTTAGTAGTTTTTTCTGAGCAAACTAACTCAGAAGAAACAAAGACAGATGGTGAGCTGTCAGTCCAGATGTATAATGTAGGGTTGGCTCACCTGTTTATGTCCCCCAGAATAACATTTTCAAACATTTTAGCAATGTTCTGATAAAATAATTTGATTTTTAATGATTACAATTATTTTTAATTATAAATTAATTTTAATTAATTTAATTATGACTGTAATGGAGCCTGAAATTTATAAGACATGATGGTCATGAGTAGAAGCTTCCATGTGACAGGATCTGATTTTATGACTTTATTGCAGTATTCATTAAGCAAATCCATATATTATTTTAGCACTTTTGCCAGAAACTGGCCAAAAAAATTGGATACCAACAAAAATAAACTCATAAATTGTGAATAAGTGATCTTGAAACACTGCAACCAGGCATAAAGATGAAGTGGTTGCCAAGCACACAAAATGCAGTCATGTGACTGCAGGATGTATGTGTGTGCAGCTTTTGGAAGTCCAGAATCAGGATGTAACTAGTTTTTGGGTCTGCCTTTGTCTTTGAACAATCACTAAGAGACTGGTCATTAAGCAAGGACTACTTGTGTTTCAGATTATTCCAAATGATACCAAACCTTCCTACATAGACAGAGTTTGCATTTATATTAATAGTCCTACATTTATCAACTTCAAATTTGAGTCTAGTTATCCCCCGCAGAACATCCAATGTCTATTAAAATGAGGTTTTGTAATGTTTCTGGGAAGATGGGGAGCAGGCTGATGGAAGAGCTGGCAGCAGTGTTGGAAAGATTGGATTTGATGAATTGAATGTGTTAGATTTGAAGTTGGCAATGAGAGCATTGATGGAAGGGCACTGTCTTAAGCCTGCGTTTGCAGTGCAGTGGGGCACTGAGCTTGGATTTTGGAAGTTGTACAAGCCTTTCCTACTTAGAGCTGCCATATTTCTCCCAGTCATTCCTGTGGCAAGTGAATCTGGTAGTAGATAGCAGCCATAGAATAGATCCAACTGACTTGAAGAGACCTGAATTTAAGTGGAAATCTGAATATTATAAACTATTACTCTTAATTGAGTTTTATGCAACTTACTTAGGTACAGCTTACAAAGAGAAACTTCAGATATTATGTGTTTTAAAACTATCAAAATATGTTACTGCGGTGAGTGATGCATTTTTGTGATGGTAGAATTGAAAATATTTATGAGTGACTTATGAAATCATTTGCAAGAGTAAGAAGAGTGCAAAGAAATCTTTTTTAAAAGTGAAGCCTGGGAGCACTTTCAAGATGAACCCATTTTATTTGAGGCTTCATTAGAGGCTTTATTAGAGGCATCAGCTCAATATCAGAAGCATAAAGTGGCCTGAAAAGCCCTAGTTTTCATTTCATCTCTGGAAGATGTAGTAGGTTTATGGAAGAAACTTGACCTTTTCTTCTTTTTGTATTCAGGTATCAGATTATGGTGGAAATAGTTCAAGCAACCACTATCAGCAACATCCCCCAGATGAAACGCCAAAAAGGTAAGTTGTTTCTTCAGGATACATTTAAACCTATTGCTAAATTGTGCTTATGATCATTTGTGCAGAAGTGACAGCAATTGACCATTTGTAGTTATAAAATTCTATATGACAGTATGACTTTCACAAGGTATCCAATTCTATAGGAATCAAACAACTATTTTTAAAAATAAGTCTAAGGGTTCTGGATTCTTTTCCTCAAAATAACAAAACATATTGTGTGAAGATGACATTTCAAACCAGTGAGGGTGTTAAAAGTATTGATTTATTGTGTGGAATCACCAGTTCAATTAGACTATGACCTAGGAAAAGCTTTATGGCGAGAACAAACATTCTAGCTGGTATGCAAGATAAAATCAAATTAAAAGATGAAAGAAGGGAAGCATTGAGCAATGAATAACGTTAAGGGAGATATGGTTGAAGAATCCAACTTCCCTTATACTACTTGGAGAACCCTAAATAGGTTGAGGGTTGGAATGCCTAAGTGTAAAATCAATGTGCTCAACTGGAGGCTCTTAGTGGATACAACATGCTGTGTGAATGTGGAGGAAGATAAGAGCCCAGCCTGTTTGCTGGTGTGTTGGCTACTACCAGAACCATGTGCCAATAATGACCTATTTTTGACCAACAACAAAGCCAAAAAGGTAGCTTCATTCTGGTGGTTTAAAGTTTGATCTGGACACAGAAGACCTTTTAAGTCAGATCTTTGTAATTTATTACCTGTAATAAATTGTGTCCAATCATACTTTTATGATTTGTGAAAAATTCCTTATGTCCAGTCACACTTGGCCAATAAAGTATTCTGTTCATTCATCAGTAATCCTTTACTCACAACCTTTTGTTTAGTGACTGTTCAATGTTACTGACTTATGACCATTTTTCACACTTATGGCCACATTGTCAAAATTTAGGCTCTTGGCAACTGGCATGTTTTTATAACAGTTGCACTGCCCTGAGGCGCTAACTGTAGTTGATATTTGAAATTATGTGTGATTTATCTGTGCTCTGGAACATTCTCAGAAGGATTAGAGTAGGCCAAATTTGTCTTTGTGAGCACCAGGCAAACGTGTTTTATTTTCCTCTTTCAGTCACTGATTTTTAAACATTTTGCAGTTGAACATTTTTTCAGACTGCTGCTTTTATTTGATTGCTTTATTTGATTCAGAATTTTCTGATTTTAGAGTGTTGTATGAAGCTGTTCAAAACCAGCTTTTCTTAAGGTACCACAGGCATTTTCAAAATAAAGCTTTAATAAAGTAAAAAAAGTATTTTGTATATACTATATGATGCTATGTGTCTAATGAATTTTTAATTATTTCAGTGCCTACATTTTTAAAATTAAGTGTGCTTCTGTAGGTATTAATCATTCTAAACGTTTTATTGATGTGATTGGGATTTCTTAAGATTGTTTTAAGCCAGTGGTTCTCAACCTGTGGGGTCAAACATCCCTTTCACAGGGATCGCCTAAGACCATCGGAAAACACATATTTTCGATGGTCTTAGGAATTGAGACAACAATTGTATGGTTTGGGGTCACCACAACATGAGGAACTGTATTAAAGGGTCGCGGAATTGGGAAGGTTGAGAACCACTGTTTTAAACAATTAGTTAAGACCCTGTTAAGTGGATCACGATTATTATAAGAACAATGAAGGCTACGTAATTAAAATAATGCCTATCTCAGACTTTTTAATTTCTGCAACAGCAAAGAATTTATGATATTTATTTGACATCATGAAATAATAAACCCAAAGATAGGTAGTGTATTTGAAATGATTTATGTCTTTTATTCAAGGCAATAAAACTAATTGGGCGTAATATAATCTCAAAATTAGTATTTTGGGGTTCCCTCCATATTTTTATTGATCGTTTATTTCAACAGATAAAAAAACTATGGAAGAAAAATATCACTGATGCAATAGCAGTAGACTTATATACCGCTTCATAGCCTTTCAGGCCTCTCTAAGCGGTTTACAGAGAGTCAGCATATTGCCCCCAACAATCTGGGTCCTCATTTTACCCACCTCGGAAGGATGGAAGGCTGAGTCAACCCTGAGCCGGTGAGATTTGAACCGCTGACCTGCTGATCTAGCAGTAGCCTGCAGTGCTGCATTTAACCACTGCACCACCTTGGCACCACCGATGCAGTATAAATGTAGGCACATTTTGCCTCAAGGCATCTCTGATCTGATTATATCTTTGGAACTCAAATACAGGATAGATTTAAAATAACTAATCTGATCCTAATTCCTCATGTTGTGCTAAAACTGCTTGTATAACTTTAATGCTGTTATGCTATGCCTTGGCCCTTTGCTATACATCACTTATCAGACTGGCTTTAGAATATGTCACAACTAATTATGCTGACAAAACTAGCTGAAGTACTTTTTTTTTGGGGGGGGGAGGGTAATTTCTTTTATTGCTGTTGAATGATGCTGCTGTTTTGGGTGCAGTGTAAAATAGAGGTTAATCCAGTATCTGTCTGCAGGGAGTTGGTGTTATTTCAGTGGTCTTGGTGGGAGTGGGTCTTAAGTGGATGGCTTACTTCTTTCAACATTTCAGCTACTCAAAGGTATAACTGAGGCTGATGATAATCCTCCAGGAAAAACAGCAAGACTCTAATCCTTTCATGTGGCACTAGTGATTAAACATGATTAGCAATAATCATCTGATACGTGATCACCACAGATAGTCATGCTGGGTTCTTGGCATTTTCTGGGCTTGTTGGATTTCCTGCAGAAGTTTGATTACCCACCTAGATAACATAATGAGAACAGGCATGGGAGATGATACACTGGTTGATATGGTGATGTTATTTAGCTGGGTAATAAAATATCTGTAGCAACAACCAAGTTTAGATAATAGTAAGAGCCCAGTTGTTCAGCACTGAGCTACATATATTCTCTAATGTTGGATCTACATCTAGGTTGGAGTTATCAGAATATTTTTTTTCAATGTCATTATTGTTTTTTTTAAATATCATAAATATGTTTGAATGATAGTTGGATTATTTTTACTTCAGTCATTAATCAAAAAGGCTCTGACTCTAGCTTACAAACAATATTTTCCTTTACAATCTGAAAGAAAAATATACAAAAGATGAAAGGATGAAGAAGAAAAAAGGTACCGTAAGCATAGTCAGTATGTTCCTGCTGTTTCTACAGCAACCAGTTGGTGAGAGTTAAAATAAGGATAGAGGCAGGTGCGTCTTTTCCTTCTGCCCTTCAGCACCATGACTGTTCTTTGCTCCATGCTCCTGGTAAGCATTGCTATTACACACTTTCCCTGAAGTGTCGTTTTTGGCTAACATATTTCCTCCCCCCCCTTCTCCCCCCCCCAAAGAGAGATAAAGCTATGAATCTTCTTCCCTGCAAACTGGTTTCAGATTCTGATGTTTCTTTCCTATATCCGTGGCTAAACATTCTGCTAGAAATGGCTTCTGGTGACAAGCTGATACCCAATCTTTATTGAACTTTTGCAGGCTGATGAGAATGAGATGCTGGATGTGGCATAAATGTCACAGAGTTTTTCTATGTAGTTTTTCAATCTGAGTGTATCTGCTTGGGGGGCGGGGAATTGAATTTTCCCTCAATTGCAAAGCTCTATAAAGTCATTATAGGTGTTATTGAAAATCATATGTCCTGGATATTCTCCTCTATTTTAAAAAAAAGACAAACCAGGAAGTAGCCGTGTTTCTTTGCAGAGGAAGCGTGTGCTTTATTTGGATGAAGTAATGGGGCTTTAAAAAATAACACAGTTTGTTTATTAAATTAGTCTCTGACTGTAATTAGCCTTTTTTGTGCCTGTTGGGACACCTAATTCTGAAGATTCTAGCAGACAGTAGCAGGGTAGCTGCTGATGCTGTTATTCAGGGTAGTCATCTCTTACTGAAACCAACTTGGCTGTCAAAGCTCTCTAAATATCAATACCTCCAGAAGCTTTCAGAATTTGTTCAGAATGACAAGAGCAATATTGCTGGATTATTTGTAAACCCTGTCCATTTCATATAAGTGTGTCATACATGGTGCACCTATAAAAGATATAAACTTGCATTGTGAAGCTTTCATCTTTCTGTCTTCCGTTGGCCCTCCTGAGATGCTCCTGTTTTTAATGCTAACCATAGTTGATTGGATCCAGAATAGAGTATGATGGCAGTCTTAATTCATAATATTTGCTCTCTTCTCCCCTTAAACAAATTTTAATGATGAGCTTGTAATTTTTTAAAATAATGCTTCTTGATTTGTAGGATATTTATATTTGGTTTGGAGAGGAAAAGGATTAGAATAATTTCCACAGTTCAGTCTTAATTATATATTACTAGATATTGCTAGAAGATTCTTTGCTTTATCTTTAATTGAATTCAGCCCAGTCTGCTTTTTGTCCACATGGAAAACGTGAAACTGGAGAAGCAAGTTGATTATAAGATATATTGGGTTTAATGTGTTTCTGAACTAATCATCTATGATACATGTAGTTAGATAGGAGTATTTTGGTTTTAGGACGGTGAGCTGAATAATAGGCTCATGCACTGACATTGTGTCAGAAACAAGTATAATGTGATGAAATATCAATCATTTTATCTCATAAATATATGGAAATACATAAAGTAGCAGTTGTAAGCTTTTTCAGAAAGAAGAGGAAAGACATTAAAAGAATGGTGGTATTCTTACATATCAGCCTGCCAAGTGCTTTCATGGAAAGATGTGATCAAAAACATATACAGGTGAAACTCGAAAAATTAGAATATCGTGCAAAAGTTCATTTATTCCAGTAATGCAACTTAAAAGGTGTAACTAATATATGAGATACTCATTATATGCAAAACAAGATAGTTCAAACCGTGATTTGTCATAATTGTGATGATTATGGCTTACAGCTCATGAAAACCCCAAATCCACAATCTCAGAAAATTAGAATATTGTGAAAAGGTGCAATATTCTAGGCTCAAAGTGTCCAACTCTAATCATCTAATTGCCATAATACCTGCAAAGGGTTCCTGAGCC